GCAGAGCCCCTAGGGGCAAAGCCTATGTGGGGAAAAAAAAAGTGAAGGGGAGGGTAGGGATCAAATCAAATCAAATAGAGTTGGAGGGGGATTCCCCTGTTCATATTGGTCAGCCAGGGTTTCCTGATTAGCCGAGGTTGACAACCCCAGTCAAGCACTTTGACGTCAACAAGGTCCATGAAATGCTCCATGAATGACACAGTTTTGAAGGGCATTGTGACTGATTCTGATAAACTATATGCTGAGGACACCGAGCCTATTCCTAAAACCTGAATTAGTTGTATCTGCCAAAAAATATATAATTTATAGTTTATAATCCGCTGCAATTTGCCTGTCAATTCATATTTAACTAATGTAGGTAAACAGGAGGCTGGAAGAACACAGCAAGCCAGGCATCATCTGGGGGAAAAGAGCAGTCAACATTTCGGGTATTACCCTTCTTCAGTCAAACCTTTGCTCAAACCTTATGGATGATTACTGCACTCTGGTCCTCTGGACCCCCTTACCTGCCTCACTTGCAGTCACGCCTTTCTGTCCCTGACCACTAACCACATCAGAACGCTCTATCCTAAGAGGTGTGACTGAGTCCTGGCACACTGAATTTAGATAACTTTACACAGCCCTGATGCATCTCAGTGTTGTATTTCAGCCTCCTGCTCATAAACTCAGAGTAAAGCTGCTCGAACTTCAAATGCTTAGTGCAGCTATGTTTGATATATCCTGTTATTTCTACATTCGCTAGCATGTGGCACTGGTAGTAATCTTGAGAGTAATCCTATTATCCTAAAGATTCTACTTTCTTTGTTTGCATCCTAGCTTGGGTTGTGGATGAGGTTCTAGACTTGCTCACCGAGTCAGTGTGTTTGATTGCAGACGTTTCATCATCCTGCAAGATAATATCATCAGTGTGTCTCCAGTGAAGTGTTTTTATTTATATGCCTTGGTTTGCTGGGGTGTTTGGCATTACTTCTGGTTCTGTTTTTCAGTGGTTTGTATGTCGGGTCCAATTCAATGTGTTTGTTGATGGAGTTCCGGCTGGAATGCCAGGCCTCCAGGAATTCCCTGGCATGTCTCTGTGTGGTCTTTCTGTATATGGACCAGATACTTTATTACACCAGCAACCACCCCAACACCACAAACAGAGCTGCATCAGGACGTTATTCAAGTGAGCCACAACACACTGCAGCAACCCAGAATTGCGCAAAGCAGAATAGGAACACTTAGAGTTTTTAAAAAGAATGAATACCCAAAAAGCATAATCCGCCGCTACCTCCGTGACAGACCACAACAAGAAGACATAACACAGCCAGACACACCAGTCACCCTACCATATGTCAGAGACATATCAGAGATGATCACAAGACTACTCCGACCCTCGGTATCAGAGTGGCCCACAAATCATCACCCTGCGACAGCTACTGACAAACGTAAAGGATCCCATACCCACAAGCAATAAAATTAACATAATATACAAAATGCCATGCATGGACTGTGAGAAACATTACATAGGCCACACTGGAAAAAAACTGATAATAAGGATACGTGAACACAATTAACCACCAAGAGACATGACTAATTCTCATTGGTCTCAATACACACGGACAAAGAAGGACGCAAATTCGACTGGGACAACACATCCATAATAGCACAAGCCAAACAGAGACATGCCAAGGAATTCCTGGAGGCCTGGCATTCCAACCAGAACTCCAAACACATTGAATTGGACCCAATATACAAACCACCGAAAAACAGAACTGGAAGTGATGCCAACCACCCAGCAAACCGAGGCATATAAATAACAAGCAGGACAGAACACAAACGCTTCACTGGAGGCGCACTGATGATGTTACTTGGCAGGGTAACAAAATGTTTGTGTCCTAACTCCCTATACTCAGCTTGTGGTGCGCTAACATTCTTTTACTTATGTCATTGGTACTGATATGTAACACGGCCTCTCGCTGTTCACCTCCCTTCAGACCACCCTGCAGGATCCTCGAGATGTCCTTGTCCCTGGTACCAGGGAGCTGACATACTATCCTGGAGTCTTGGAGCTGCAGAAACACCTTTCTGTTCCCCTTACTCATGAATCCCTCATCACCATAGCTCTTCATTTTTCTTCCTCCACTCTTGTGCAGGAGAGCCACCCGTCATTTTATGGAACTGGCTCCCTTCTGTTGTGCACTGAGTATTTGTCTCTTCCCAACAGTATCCAAAACAGTATGTCTGTTAGAGTCTGAGAGTCGTAGACGTCTCCTGCCTCTAGTCCTTCCTCTAATCTGCCCGGTGATTACCCATCACCTTTCTGTCTGTTCAGTCTTTACTTGCATTGTGACTGCCTCTCTGAATGTGCTGTCCATGATAATTCAGTATCACCAGTGCCCCACAGCAAGACCACCTGCAGCTCCAGCTCTGAAAGACATATAGCTAGTTGCTGCAGCTGGGCAGAGTTTCTAGACACCAGGCTACGAGGGACATTTGAAGTGTCCATCACTTTCCAAACGCAGCAGGTTGTGTAAATCGCTGGTGCAAGATCTGTGCCATGACTTCTTTTTAGGTTAAGTTGGTTAGTTACTCCTTTTTAAAGAATGCTAATTACACTAGGGACCCTTTTCCACCCCCAACACTCCCACTACAGTACAAAGTCCTTAGTCTGTTTCAACTCGCTACCAGCGCTATTGCATGATGTTCGCTGCTCTCCTATTGCGCTGCTTAATATTAAGTTCACCATCAGCTTTCAGTGCTGCTCTATACTGAGTTCACTGCTTCCCTTATTCACTGATTTATACCAATTCCTGGTCAGCTTTACAACGATGCTCACTCACTGCAAATCCCTCATTCTATTTCACAGCACTAATGACTGCCGCACACCCCTCCCCATCAACAGGCCTAAGCTGTCTTTTGCTTATCAGCCTAGCAGGCTATGATGGAAGCTTTCTTCAGAAGAGAAAGAAGAGCTAGTTCTGTAGTATCTATTGCATTTCCTAAAATTTTATGAAGTTATTAGAGAATGAAATTTTGATAGAGCTGCAACACCATTTAGGGAGCTCAATCTAGAGTCTGTTTCACTTAATATAGATTTTGTTTGATTTGATTTATTATTGTCAAGTGTACTGAGGTACAGTGAAAAATGCTGTTTCATGCTTTATTATACAAGTGCAGCAGGGTAACAGTAGAGTGCAGGATACAATGTTACAGCTGCCGAGAAGGTGCAGAGAGAGATCAACATTAACATTAAAGAGGTCCATTCAAAAGTCTGATAAAAACAGGGAAGAATGTATACAAACGTTTATATCTTCGGCCCGATGCAAGAGGGTGGAAAAGAGTATAACCTGGGTGGGAAGGGTCTTTGATTATGTTGGTTGCATTCCTCATGCAACAGGAAATATAAATGGAGTCAGTGGATGGAAGTCTGGTTTGCGTGATTGACTGGGCTGTGTTCACAACTCTGTAGTTTCTTTCAATCTTGGGAAGAGCAGTTACTGTACCACACTGTGATGCATTTAGGTAGGATGCTTCTATGATACATCTATAAAAATTAAGAGTCTTTGTGGACATGCTGAATCTTCTTAAGCTCTTGAGGAAGTAGAAACAATGCTATGCTTTCTTGACCATAGTATCAAAGTGGGTGCACCAGGACAGATTGTTGGTGATTGTCACTCCTACGAACTTGACACTGTCAACCATCTCCACCTCAGAACCATTGATGCAGACAGGGGCGTGCCCTCCACTCTGCTTCCCGAAGTCAATGACCAGCTCCTTCGTTTTGCTGACATTGATGGAGAGACTGTTGTCTTTACACCGTGCTGTTAAGCACGCTGTCTTTCCAGTATGTTGTCTCATCGTTGTTTGAGATCCAACTTACAATAGTGGTGTTGTTAATAAACTTGTAAATAGAGTTGATGTGGAATTTGACCACACAGTCTTGTGTGTATAAGGTAGATAGCAGGGGAATGAGTATGCAATCTTGTGGTGCACTGATGTTGAGGATTATCATGGAGGATGTATTGTCGCCTATCCTTACTGACTGTGGTCTGTTAGTCAGGAAGTTGAGAATCCAGTTACAGAGAGGGGAGCAGAGACCCAGGACCCAGAGTTTGTTTGGAATTATGATGTTGAAGGCGGAGCTGTAGTCAATAATGTACCGACAGTTTGCCTCATTACCTAATAACTCCAACATCAGTACTTTGTGGAGGGATTATAAAATGAGCACTGCAGCAAATCATCAAATCATCAAATTCTCTTTTGGTGGCACGTTCCAGCCTCATGCCTTCTACCATCAACGAAGAACAGCAGGATCATGAGAATATTGTTACCTGTAAGCTACCCTTTGAGGTAGCAAGCGGTTTGGGTTTGAGGATTTACTGATGGTTCATTATAATTATTTGGTTGCAGGTTGAAATTTTCAACCTATCATTCTTCTCGGAGCGTCATCACCAAAAGGACTGCAGCAATTTAATTGAAATCCTACAAGGAATACACAATAAGAAAGAGTTTTGCTAGTGTTGCCCACATTCTGAGAAACATGTATAGAATCACCACATCATATAGTTGAGCAGAATATATGTATTTGGAAAGTTGTAGCTCAACCACACTATTTCAATGTCTATCCGAGGGAGGAAAAGGAAAATTGCCAGAATAACCATATTTTTTGGTGGTCTTGTAATTTCTGCCATCTATAAACTCCAAAGTTAAAAAACTTTGCTATCTGAATCTATTCAGCATTAAATATTGCTGACGCTTAACATCCACAACAATGTCTTTGCTTAGTTATATTGTACTTGCTTTTCAGTACTTTGTATTTCAAATTCTCACTCTATCTATAGATTCCTTTGATCTTAATTTATTTCCAACTTCTGGAACCATTTCCAAACTTAATATTTCCTGTCTGTACCCTATTGTTTTCTGTTTTTGCTGTTATGCTATCCTCCAAATGACTCCTGATTATATTATTTGATGAAGGTCTGATGTCCTCAACTCATGAATGTCTTTCATTCCTGCAGCGGAGTAGCAGCTCTGAATCTCTGAGTGAGAAAGCTTCTAATGACCCTAAGAAAAGTTTTGATGCAGTGGTCTTTGATGTCCTGAAGGTGACACCAGAAGAGTTTGCTGTGAGTATAGTTGGTGATTAAGGTCTTTGCGGCAAATCTGTGGATTGTGTGTGAAATAGTGAAAAGAACAAGAGAAATTCAACAAATGTAATATCGTCGATCATTATCAATGTCATTTTGGAGTTTGGTTACATACATTGGGGTAATTTTTATGTAACAGGAAGGAAAATACACGCAGAGCTTTTAATGATTGTACTTTAAAATACATTCTGTTTCTTTGAAAATTAAATTGTCAAAATTATCCTGTTTTGGGTATTCTTCTTGGAGATATCATTAAATCAAAAGAGGTGCCTGCATCTTATATGTTAATTTGACAACTTCAGTTATTTCAGTTGAGGCAATTTGAGACCACCCTGATGGCTGACCTGGAGAAACTTGATTCTAGGGTTAGGTGGATGGTTGACAAATAAGCAAGAAATGAAGGGTGGTCTTTTCTGGGGTATCGGTTTCAAAGCAGCTCTTGTAAACATGCCCTCCCTTGAAAATGAATACAAATGATTATTTCTTGTCAGTAACTTTTATAGGTCAACTTGACAAATTGATGGAGAACTTCAGAAGAACATACGTACAGAAATAAAGCCTTAACGCTGAATTGTTAAGCTGACTGTGTTGGGTCACAGAACACCTTCAAGCTTTGTACAGATTAGAGAATACATGTTACAATTCCCTCACTTCAGTATCAATATGCCCCACATGATCTTTATTTACCCTCCACCTTTCATAGGAATTGTTAGTTATTTTTACCCAAGGCCTTTGATTGTAAGACTTCTATGCTACTAGCCTTGACATTTGAATGTCTAGGTTGGTATTTGTTTCTCTGCCCATCTATAGTTCCCACATGCTTTGATAGCTTTGCTTATTACTGACTATGTGTCTGAAGCTTTAATCCTTAAATAACTTAACCTCTTCAGTGACAAAATTGAAATGCCCTGGAAGAGAGGGCATCTTAAGTGGCAATCTTTTTATAAAAGTAAATAAATTTGGAATATTTTTGAGTCTCAGGGCATATGTTATGCACATGCGAATCCATGTGCGCGAGAGAGAAATTGGTTTTCTGTGGTGTTTACAGCAGCAGCTATTCTGTTGACAGTTCCTCTCTTTCCTGTTCAGGAGAAAACTTGCAGTGTACCCCTTTTTTGTTTTGAACAATTATTAATCATTTTCAAAACATAGAATTATAGAAGTTGATTTGAGAAATAATGAACTATAACGAGTACAGAGCTTTTGTATTACAGCACGGAAACAGACCCTTTGGTCCAACTTGTCCATGCCGACTCGATACCCTAAATAAATTTAGTCCCATTTACCAGCATTTGGCCCATATCCCTCTAAACCCTTCCAATTCGTGTACCCATCAAGATACCTTTTAAATCTTGTAATTGTACCGGCCTCCTCCACTTCCTCTGGCAGTTCATTCCATACATGCACTAAGGCCTTAATTAGCATATTGCAATTGAAATTCTTCTACAGTTGTAAGAGGCATTGCAGACTTCAGTGACACTGTTCCCAGGGACTTTTCTTGTTCATTTTCTCATCATTTTAGAGTCTTTGGAAATCTAAATTCTGCTGACATTTTTTAAACTTCATTCATGAGCTGCAGGTGCTGCCTGCCTAGGCCAGCGTTTATTATCCATTCCTTGAGAAGTTGATTGAGAAAGATTTGAGGTCCTGTGTAGTGTTATGTTCTCTTTGAAGGTGAAACTTTTGTAATTTAACTCAGATGCAAAAGTTGGTTTCATGTGCAATCACAGTGCCTTTCCAGTGCTTTTTCTATTGTCTCATTTAAGCCTTGAAGACAGCCTGGTGGTCATTGGAATTTTTCTTCGTATTTCATTCTCAAGTGCAAACTCAGATCGGGCTAGTTTCATGCAGTGAAGTTTTCGATTCTTTTTGTGAGGTGTAAAATTTTATTCTATTCTGTTGTCTTTAAATGCTCTATTACCTTGCTCTGTGGTGATACTGCATTTGTATATCTGGAAAAGTGAATGTTAGCAGGCACCTTAACCATGGAATTTCATGTGTTCTGACCTCAAGTTCAGCCACAATCTTGTTTTGAAACAAGATTGCTTGGATAGCAACTGAAAGTGGGAACCTTGACTAATATTTCCATCAGTAGCTGAGCAGCAGAATTACATTGTTGGTGTCAACTGTTTCCCCAGTTGACAACTCCTAACCTAGCACCACCCTTAGACTCTTCTTTCCAGATATTTTTGAAATAAATGTCTTGCTTGATTGGAGATGGGTTAATTTAATGTCTAAACATTAGAAAAATGCATAAAGTTTATCTTGGGAAGGCAGATGAATGAACCTGTTAAAATTAGGAACCTGTACTTTTGGGCTGCTCACAATTGGCACCTGCTTAAGGCCTCATCCCTACAGCATGACAATTTAATCGGTGGTTTAAAAAAAGCTCTTTGTCAAACATACAGCCCAGCAGATTTGTCCCTGTGGATTGTTGGACAGTGAGGGGTGTGATGTCGAGATAACAAGGTGTGGAGCTGGATGAACATAGCAGGCCAGGCAGCATCAGCGGAGCAGCAAAGCTGACGTTTCGGGTCTGGACCCTTCTTCAGAAATGGGGGAGGGGAAGGGGGCTCGGAAATTTATAGAAAGACGGGGAGGCGGTAATAGAAGGTGGATAGTAGAGCAGATAGGTGGAGAGAAGACGGACAGGTCAGGGAGGTGGAGATGAAGCTAGTAGGTGAGTGTAGGTAGGAAGTGGGGGTTAGTCAGTGAGGTGGGGAAGCAGATAGGTGGGAGAGAAGACGGACAGGTCAAGGAGGCGGGGATGAGGGGGGTGCTGGTCTTGGGATGAGGTCGTGGGTGGGGAGAGTTTGAAGCTCGTAAAGTCAACATTGAGACCATTGGGTTGTAGAGTTCCAAGGCGGAATATGAGGTGCTGTTCCTCCAGTTTTTGGGTGGCTCGCGAAACACTTCAACTCCCCCTCCCACTCCCTGGATGACATGTCCATCCTGGGCCTCCTCCAGTGTCACAACGATGCCACCCGAAAACTGGAGGAACAGCACCTCACATTCTGCCTTGGAACCCTACAACCGAATGGTCTCAATGTGAACTTTACGAGCTTCAAACTCTCCCCACCCACAACCTCATCCCAAGACCAGCACCCCCTCTCGTCCCCGCCTCCTTGACCTGTCCGTCTTCTCTTCCACCTATCTGTACCTCCCACCTCACTGACCAACCTCCACTTCCTACCTACACTCGGCTACTAGCTTCATCTCGCCTCCTTGACCTGTCCGTCTTCCCTCCCACCTAACCGCTCCTCCCTCTTCATTGACCAACCCCCAACCCAACTCCCTACCTAAACTTACCTTTACTAGCTTTATCCCCACCTCCCTGACCTGTCCGTGTTTTCTCCACCTATCTGCACTATTATCCACCTTCTGTCTCCGCCTCCCCGCCTCTCTATTTATTTCTGAGCCCCCTTCCCCTCCCCCGTTTCTGAAGAAGGGTCCAGACCCGAAACGTCAGCCTTCCTGCTCCTCTGCTCCCTAGCCTGCTGTGTTCATCCAGCTACACACCTTGTTATCTCAGACTCCAGCATCGGCAGTTCCTACTATCTCTAGGGGTGTGATGTCTCCTTTCTGAGTCTGTAGTGGCAATTGGATACTGCTGAGACTTGACTGCTTGGGTTTTGCAGCATGTGTGGCTCCTCTTCCACCTGTGTCTCAGCAGTAATGGCAGTTTAAAGTTTTTGAGAAGATTTATAACTTGGGTTGTGGATGAGGTTGTAGACTTGCTCTCCGAGTCGGTGTGTTTGATTGTAGACGTTTCGTCACCCTGCTAGGTAACATCGTCAGTGTGCCTCCGGTGAAGCGTTGGCATTCTGTCCTGCTTGTTATTTATACGCCTTGGTTTGCTGGGATGGTTGACATCACTTCCGGTTCTGTTTTTCTGTTACTTTTTCCCAGCAAATCACATTGAGGCAGGCAAAAAGCGACGAGTAATTCTTCTCACTGCTTGAGGACCCACAGCGGTTTTGGTTATTAGGAGCCTAACGTTCCCTGAGGCACCAGATACAAAAACTTTTCAAGAGTTGATGAATTTAGTTAAGGAATATTTTGACCACAGGCCTCCCCTAATTCTAAGACACTATCAATTTTATTCGCCAGTTCAAGAACCAGGGGGCTCTGTATCGGGATTTTTGACTAAGTTAAGACAACTGGCAGAGGCTTGTAATTTTGGGTTAACCCTGAATAAGATGCTGAGAAACCGTTTGGTCTGTGGGATTAATGACATAACCATGCAGAAGCACCTATTAGCTGAAGCCCACCTGGATTTCAAACAGGCACTACGACTGGCTTTGTCATTAGAAAATGTGGCAAGTGGAACACATGAGCTACAGAGTATCCCTACAGAGACACCCTCACCTATTTGACTGAGCTTGGGGAACATCGCTTGACTGCAGGTAATCACATACCCTCACGCAGGACATATCCTGAGCAGAGGGACCCTACGTCAGCCAATAGCAAAACCCCAAAACAAAGCCAAGCCTCGGCCAAATGGCTAAAATGATCTTCAGGGTCCGGGCCAGCGAGCCCAGGGTAGTTCATTTCAGCATTTCTGAAGAAGGGTCTAGGCCCGAAACGTCAGCTTTCCTGCTCCTCAGATGCTGCTTGGCCTGCTGTGCTCATCCAACTCGACACCTTGTTATTTCAATCAAAATAAATGTCTTGTCAAATGGACACACCATTCTAATGGATACCAGTCTTTAACAAGATTCACTCTGGACTCCAACCCTTGGTTTCTCAGTCCAGCCAAGGTCTTAAGCAAACTTACGTTGAAGAAACCATTACGGATTCGGGGTACAACTTCGGTTCTGGCCTCGTCTAAGAAGCAGTTGGTGCAGTTATTGCTGATTGTAGTAAAAGGCTTGGGCCCAAGCTTGATGCGGTGGAATTAGTTGAGAAAGATTCACCTAGATTAGCTCAGCATTTTTCAATTAGAATGTAGCTATCCGAGTGAAGTCGTAATTAAATATCCAGATGTTTTCAGGAAGGTCGAGGGAGTATCAAAGGAAGCAGGATCACCTTGCATGTTGACCAGGAAGCAATTCCGCTGTTCTGCATGGCCTGCCAAGTGCCGTTTGCCTTGGGTGCAAAAGTAGAGGCAGAAATCAGGAGGCTGGAAAGCGAAGGAACCATTGAACTGGTACAGTTTTTGGAATGGGCAGCACCGGTCGTAACAATGGTGAAGCCTGATGGATCGGTTTGTTTTTGTGAGGAGTTCAAGCAAATAGTAAATCGCTTCTTGCAACTGGATGAGTACCCAGTCCCTTGCATAGAGGACTTGCATGCAAAAGTTTGGGGGAGCTGTTCTTCACGAAGCTGGTCATGAGACATGTGTATCTGCAATTGTGACTAGATGAAGAGTTGCAGAAGTATGCCACAATTAATAGCTATAAGGGTTTGTACCAGTATACAAGACTGCATTTGGGGTATCATCAGCTTGCGCCCTTTTTCAGCTTTTCCAGTAGAAGATTTTACAAGGTCTACCCCAGGTTGCCGTTTATCTGGATGATGTGCTAATAACTGGGAAGACCAATAAAGAGCACTTGGAGAACTTAGACGTTGTGCTTAAATGGTTCTCCCAGGTACGCATATGCCTTAGAAGGGAAAAACGTGTGTTCCAGGCACCCCAAGTGACATACTTGGGCTGCAGAGTCGACAAGATTGGGTCACACCTGTTGGAAGATAAAGTGAGGACGATCACATCTATACTAGAGCTTAAGTCTTTCCTTGGGTTGGTGATACATAACCTGGCTTCCATCTTGGCACCCTTACACCCGCTGTTGAGAAAAGGTCAGTCTTGAAAATGGTTGCATAGTGAAGAAATAGTCTTTAGAGAAGTGAAGAAGCTGCTATCGTCGACAAAAGTGTCGGCCCACTATGATCTGAAGTGAGAGGTGGTGCTGACGTGTGATGCCTCCCTGTCTGGTATCGGAGTAGTATTGGCTCACCGGTGGCCCAATAGAGAGGAATGCCTGATAGTGTATGCTTCCAGGATTGTGCCCATATAGAAGAGGAAGGTTTCGCTGTCATCTTGGGTGTGGGCAAGTTCCACCATTATCTTTATGGACCGCAATTAGTAATAGTAGCTGACCACAAACCCCTGCTAGGGATACCTGAAGAACGCAAGGCTGTTCTGCTCATAACTTCTGGATGAATTCAGCAGTAGGCTTTTATTCTCAGCGTGTCCAATTACAAGTTGGAGCACCGTCTGAGACTCGAAGTGGCAAATGTGGATACCTTGAACCGCTTCCCTCTGGCAGATATATCACCAATGGTGTCTCCCCTGGAAGAATCTGTTCTGATATTAAACTTTCTGGACACTGTTCTGGTCACTGCTGACAATATAAAACTGTGGACGCAAAAAGACCCTATCCTGGCAAAACCAAAACAGCTGGTGGTGATGGAGGAAACAGAAGGGACAGCACAACTAAAAGTGAAATCGTTCTGGACCTGATGAGGCCACATCACCATAGAGGATGGCATATAATTATGGGGAGCAAGAGTGATTGTCCCAAATAAAGATTGCCACCAGATACTGACTGAACTCCTCCAGCGCCATCCAAGGCTTTCTAAAATGAAGATGTTGGCAAGAAGTTATGTCGTTATGTCTGGTGTCCAGGGTTGGATGCTGACATAGCTGTGTTAGTGGGGCTGTGCCCAGAGTATCAATAGGGACAAAAATTACCCGCAGCAGCTCCCCTACATTCATGGGAATCGCCAGGTAAACCCTTGATTTGGTTACACACAGTGATGCCGGTCCTTTCAAAGGCTCAATGTTTTTGGTCATTATGGATGCCCATTCAAAGTTGTTGGACGTGCATAGAGTTCATTCGCCAAACTCGAAGTTGGAAGTTGAAAAGTCGCGAGCATTGTTTGCAAGGCATGGACTTCTGAAAGTATTGGCCATGGCCAATGGGACGTCAGGTACCAGCAAGGATTTCGAATATTTTCCAAAGTTGAATGGCACTTGGCATGTTTGGACAGCTCTATACCATCCATTGTCCAATGGTCTGGTGGAAAGAGCAGTCCAAATGTTGAAGGCAGGCTCAAAGAAACAGCCTACAGCTTTACTATATATCAAACTGTCCTGGTTCCTCTTTGATTGTAGGACCACCTAGTCACACAACTAGGTCACCTAGTCACACAACAGTAGGGATAGCCCCAGCAGAGTTGCTAATGGGAAGAAGACTCTGCGCCAGCTTAAACATGATATTCGTGGACTTTGGGTTGGTGGGGTAGGTTGGGTGTTGTGAAACGGCAGCAGAAATGCCAATGCTGGCCACATACTTCCTCCAAGCAAGAGAGACAGTTTACTTCAAGGGTTGAAGTAAACACAGAAATAGCCCTGCATGGGTATGAGGTATGGTTGACGCGAGGTAGGTGAGGCGGTCTGAACAAAAACATGGATCACATGAAAGCTACTATCTCACAAACTGGACCACAGCAGAAAATACCCAAGCCCCACCTGAAGAAGCGGAGTAATTTCTTCAGAGATGCTCTGGGCGCAAGAGATGGGCTGCGGTTGGGTACATGTTGACTGTGTCTGTCTGAGTCGGAGTTGGAGGAACCGGACCTGGTGAGAAAACATCTCTGGAGAAGCTGGAAGAAAACAAAAGCACACCCCCACCCCGACTTCATCTGATGAAGGAGCAGCATTATGAAAGCTTGTGATCTGAAATAAATCTGTTGAACTGTAACCTGGTGATGTGTGACTTCTGACTATGATATCCCTGATTGGGGCTGTTAACCTGGGCCTAATTGGAAGCCATGGCTGACAGATATGAACAGGATGATAAGGCTTCTGGCCACTCTAGAGATTGGCTCTGAGCCAGCTGGTCAGAGTCCACACACTGCATGTGTAAATTAAAGGTGACAGGATACAGGCCTCCGTGGAATTATTTACCCTGAGCCATTAAAGGTCAGTGGCAACATAAATTAATTTGGAATGAGTCAGCCTCTCTCATTTATGTTGGCGTGCAGGGAGCTCACATTTAGCATTTAATCCAGCCCCATGTTTCTCTTCACATGGCAAGTGATCAAAATAAGCCCAAATATCCTCTCCCAGACTATAATTTCTTGACAAAGCATGTAATTTGGGGAATATCTTCAGTCAAAAGGTACCAACATGACATTGAGTTGTTCATATTTTGCTGCTTTTGTGAATCTAATGCAAAATATAGCGTCAGTTGTTCAGTTTGGCGTCCTAATGGAATTTCTCTTAAATGTTAACTTGAAAAAAAAAATGGCCTTAGTGGAAAACAATGAGTTTTACATTGCAGGTTGAAATGCAGCACAAACTGTTTTCCTGACTTAAACTGCAATTACTTTGTTGCACAGAAAAAAAAGTTCTGTTGCAGTTATATTTGTTATGCCATTTATGCACAGTATGTTACTCTGGTTGCAAAATGAATCAAATTCATCAATGCCAATAATGTTTCCTAATTACCCTCCCCGCTTCCATTCTCTGTAAATGTTAATAAAACATTCTATTTTGGCTACTTTGGCTATACATCGAGCAGCTGTTTTCTTCAGAGACCGTACCTTTTTAATCACAAAAATATTTTCCACTTCAGTCACCTCATTCGTTCACTTTTTGCCTAAAACCTTCTTTATAATGTGTGTGCCTGTGTATGCAGTTTTAAATTTGTGCATCAAATGTACTGATGTTTTAATTGAAAATCTGGAAGTAATTATTTTCAGTTTATCTCAAGCTGAATTGTATAACTATTGTTATTCTTTAGAAACTGACTTCTTAAAATCAAATTACTGGGGTTTTCTATAGTTCCTCCTGTTGAGGACAAAAATTTTAAGTCGTAATTTGGGATGATTAATGAACTTTGATTGTGAAAATCTAGTCCTTAAGGAGCATCTCAGGAAGTGATATCTATTAATTTAAATATTAGAACTTATTGTATAACATGTTCATGTTTGTATTTAGAGTTGGTTAAGATATTAATTAGTTGCATTGATTCTGAAAATACATGTTCACAATATTTCAGCCTTTCTTTAAGGCTTCATATTTTCACAATAGAATGCAATTAGGACATTTATTTTCACTTTTCAGTATTCAAAAAATGTGACGGTTGGCTCATTGCAAAATTTGATCTGTTTGGTTTCTTTCAGAGTCAGATAACGCTAATGGATGCACCTGTTTTTAAAGCTATTCAGCCTGAAGTAAGTTCCTTCAGATTGCTTCATAGTTTCTAGCAAAAGCAAAGTGATAATTTTGGACATCAGTATTTTTACCCATGCTTTGTTTTAACTGCTTATATTGATTATGATTGATTACTTTATTTACCTCCAACACAACTCTTTCATTCTCTTCAATTCTATCTTAGTTCCATTCTGATTTGTCCCAACACACGTGCACCACAGATGCTTAATATTGTATTTGAGTCACAACTCTGAAGCTGGTGAGGCAGACATATTTTTAAAGTTAAACATAGGTCAGATAAAAGACCTTTGGGCTGCTGCCTGAAACCTGATGTCTCAGGTAATTGATACCATAGTTTTCGTGAGTTCATCAGTAAGCTAAACAGGAGGGTATACAAAGCTTCTGGAGTCATATCTAAACTTCAGGTTAGGGATACCTATCTTTATCTGTTCTCATTTACATCATTGTTGTTGTTAGTTCCAGTCTTAATTTTAGGCATTTTACATAGGCTCATATAAATTGTGGATGCCTAAAAGCCAAGGTCCAGCTGGTTCACTTTCTGCCATCCTAATAGTCAAGTGATACAAAAACGGAGTTGCTTACTAATATGATCGTTGCTATCGTTGGTTTGACAACAGGTCAAAATATGAGGCAGAGCAAATGCACAGTAATAGAAATCTTTGAAAATAATTATTCCAATGTCATCTCTTTCTCTCAAACATGCTATTTTTGCATTATTTTCTCTTCTGATTACATCTTTGAAGAATTTTTCTTTGTAAATGTCATGATGTAAAAGCTATTCATTACCATATGGCTTGATTTCTCCTACATAAATGCAGAATGGCAAAGCCTGTTATATCCATTGCCATCACCCATGTATTGTCCCCCCTTCTGTTGCATCTCTAATGTTCTGATTTGCTGTATGCATCTACAACTTCACTCTGCTTTTGGTGACAGATTCTTTGGTGAACGTATGATATCTCAAAATTCTTCAACCTCTCCTAAAAGTGTTCTCTGTTTGTTTTTACCAGTTCATACCTTTGAATATTAATTCTCCAACTTTCCAGTTCATCTGAACCATGTCACGGCATATTGATTGATTTGTGTTTGTTTTACATTGTCTTCCCTAAATCAAGAGCATGGAAATTCATCACAGGTCTAAACTGCTGCTTTTGCACAGTTAGTGCTATATGACAGTGGGATTGAATGCCTTATTATTTATAGTTAATACACAGTATAGCTTATCCAAGGTGCATATTTAAATACACTGCAGAACATAAACCATTTTAATTTGTTAGAGAAATTGGCAACTTTAAAATTTCAAACAAAATGAATGTATTTTAAGGATTAGGTTGGCCAGTAATTTTTAGCTAATAATTCCCTGCTGGCTAATTTTTTAAGCTGTGCAAGACATAAATTCTTACTTTATCTCGTCTAGAGAAACTATTAGCATTATTATCAGTGGTAGGTAAACCTTTTAAAAGCAAAGTTTAAAGTTCAACAGTGTTGAAACAGGCCATTCGGCCCAACAAGTCCACACCGGTCTTCAGAAGAGCATCCCACCCAGAACCACCCCCACCTCGTTCCCTGCAACCCTGCATTTCCCACGGCTAACGCACCTAACCTACATATCCCTGAACGCTATGGGTAATTTAGCATGGCCAATTGACCTAACTTGCACATCTTTGGTCTGTGCAAAGAAACTGGAGCACCCTACAGGAACCCACGAAGATGGGGGGAGAACGTGCAAACTCGACACAGACAGTTGCCCAAGGCTGGAATTGAACCCAGGTCCCTGGCACTGAGACAACAGTGCTAACCTCTGAGCTACCGTCCCCGATCAAATTGAAAGGACATTGAGTCAGGTGAATTATTTGGTAAGAACGCCAGATAGAAGGAAAACTGTGTCATATTCATATGCTTAAGCGGTATATTGGTAAGGAAGGAAAACAAAAGGAGAATGTGGTATTTGTTACAACTTGGAGTGAAGAAACAAATCCAGATAAATCTGTATTTGATATTCCTGAAAATAATTTTGATAATGGCGAAGTTCTCAAAAATTGGGATAAATTATTTAGTTACCTTCCAGAGGAAAATTGAAATGGCCTGAGATAATTATTACAATCACCTGGAGAGATATGTATGAATATGCTGGGAAGTACTGACATGATTATACATGATGTAAATATAGGAAATGCTGTTCCAGTTAAGCAATACCCTTATAGACTTAATCCTCTAAATTTGGCACTTGTTTAAAGAGAGTTTAAAAGCGATATAATCAAAAGTAAGTCACAGCAAATGGTGATGGTGCCAAAACCAATGGCACCCAATGAGTGTGTTGACTACTGCAAACTCGATGCAATTGCAAAATCTGATTCATATCCCATTCCACGGCTGGAAGACTGTATTGAGAAGGTGAGACAAGCAATTTATATTTTGAAGCTGGACTTTCTCAGAGGATACTAGCAGGTACCTTTTTCTGAGAGAGTAAAGGAGATTCCAGCTTTCATGACATGGAATCGACTTTACTAGTTTAAAGTTGTGCATTTTTCATACCAATTGGCATCAGCTACGTTTCAAAGAGTAACCAATAAAGTCATTTCCGGATTACTCAATTGTGTGCTGTACATAGATGATCATGTGACTTTTAGTCACACAGGGAAGGAACATTTGGAGCATCCATCGGAATTGTTCGATCGACTTCAGAAGGCATCTCTGGTAATAAACCTGGCTAAAAGTGAGTTCGCGTAAGTCCAAGTCACGTTCCTGGGCCATATCTTTTGACGTGGACAGATGGCCCGCGGGATGTGAAAACAAAGGTTCCTGGGGAGTTTGCCATATTGTTGATGAAGAGAGGAGTACAACAATTCCTGGGACTGAGTTTTTTTTTAATTGAAAATTTGTACTAAAGTTTAGCAACATTTATGTTGCCAGTCATGTGTCTGAGGCAATTGTAAATACTGATCATAACTCCTTAACATGTTTGGAGATAAAATTTTAAGATAAAAATACCAGACTGTTTAAATGGAGTTTATTATTGCAGCCATGTAATTTGAAAATTGTACAGATGACAGGACGAGAGAATGTAGTTGCCAACACATTGTCATGACTTTGATGAAGGAAGACAAAGGTGTTTGGTGGCAGAAAAAAACACTGAAATGGACTGTAGTATTAAATGTTTGCATGTTTAGAGACAATGTAATGATGTGTATTGTAGTGTACAAATAGTGTAAGGCGAAAGCTTTTTGAAAATGAAGCCATTGTTGTGTGGTGATGGTTCATGTTTTTTAAAGCGGGGGAGGTGTGACATTACAATGGCTTTAAGAGATGCATTTTGCCTTTTGTTTTTGAAGAGAGATTTTGAGCCATAGGTAATGGGCTTTCCATTCCAAGCCACTAAAATAAACAACTTGTGAGGTTTTGGGATTTTTTAAAAGTTGGAACAGTAGAAGCACTGTGAAAGGGTGGAGTCAGGCTCCCACAGAACCAGGGTTTTAGTTTAGCTTTCACTTGTTAGGGATTTGAAGCTGGTTGTGGAAGCTGCTACATCTCACTCTCACTCTCGTTCTCTCACTCTCACTCTCGCTCTCTCACTCTCTCTGCTACAGCTAAAAGCTTGGGTTCTCTTGTCTCCTGCCAGAATCATGTGAGACAATCAGTTTTACTGACTTTGCCTTTGCCAAGGCTGTATTTATGGGATGTTCCTGTAATGTTTGCTGTTTAATAGTTAAATTTTTCTGGTAAGTATTCCAGTAGAGTTAAAATTATACCAATTCCTCTTGCTTTTGTTTGTGTTATAACTGTAGGGTAAGAATAAAGTGTGCTTTGCTTAAAACTGAGTAGTCTGACCAGTCGAATTACATCTGGAACACAGCACCTTATGCTTGCATTTAAATAAGAAAGAAGTTAGCGTCTAGGTTATCTCCTTGAAATATTTGAAGGTGGATTGGTATGGTCCATAACATCGTGGAAAACACATTTTGCTGCTGCACACTGCACAGTAGCAATGTGAAATGGCTAGTTTCACTTGTTGCTCATAGTTTTGACATCTCACCTTTTGAGGGTAATCTGAGATCGTAAACTGGGCACTTTTCAGGATTAAAACTAGGTCCATTCATGGATGTAATATACTGGAAGCAATTGGTAGCCATTATCTGCAGGATAGCTGTAATAAGCGCTATCTTGACACAGAGCTTACACAATGAGCAAATGGCTCAAGGCCTGAGATGTGCTCAATTTACCTCATGACACAGATGACTTTAATCTTAGTCTGAGATAAGATATGCACAAGCACAACTTTCAGCTGTGGTTACTGGGTATAAGCTGAAAAATGTAATTCTGAGGTAGTAGGAACTGCAGATGCTGGAGAATCTGAGATAACAAGGTGTAGAGCTGGATGAACACAGCAGGCCAAGCAGCATTAGAGCA